AAAGGGTTGTCAGGCTGAGACGCGAATTGTTCGAGATGGGAGACGTTCGAGGAACGAGGTTCCACTGTATCTGAACAGTGATGAATTATAAAAATGAACACACTGTGCTACAACCACCCATGAGTCCACAATGCCACTGAAAATAAGAAAGGAGGAAGTGAGAGGGAGCACCTGCTGATATGTGTGAAGGGACGAAAGATGCAGACAATAACCACTATGTATGACCCCAATACAATGGTAGTAAGTGCGACTCCGGCACAGGTGGTCAGTAGGAGCTAGAACAGCCTCCAGGGGCCGTACCACAGGCCACCTATTCCTCACAACGGGAACCGAGCCGGCCCTGGCTGTGCGGGAAGACTCCCGAGTGGTGGCATCCTGGGCTGGATTAGAGAGATTCGATGGCAGGAAGGTTAGGGAGGCAGGGGGAAGAGTCTTACATGGACAGGGAACAGAACAGCCAAGTGCCAAATGTGAGCCTCGATTGAAAACAACACAAAACAACATGCTTACAGCATGCGGGATGCTGGGGAGACCTGAAGACCATGCTATAAACCAAGCCAACACTTGAGGTGCGGCTGGTAGGAGAATGCCCTTGTTCTCGAGAAATCCCTGCTCTATTCAAAGGTGAAGTCACATCTGCAGCCCTCACCAGGATGGCTCTGCGAGAGGGCACTACCTGCGTGCAGGTGTGTGAGTCCCTGTGTGTGTGCAGGTGTGCGAGTATCTGTGTGTGCATGCAGGTGGGCAAGTCCCTGTGTGTATGTGGTGTGTGAGTATCTGTGTGTGGGTATGTGCAGGTGTGTGAGTCTATATGTGTGTACACAGGTGAGTCCACAGGTGTGCGAGTCCGTGTGTGTGTATACAGGTGTGTGAGTCCACATGTGTATGCAGGTATGTATCTGTGTGTGTCTGTGTGTGCATGCAGGTGTGCAAGTCCCTGTGTGTGTGCGGTGGGTGAGTATCTGTGTGTGGGTATGTGCAGGTGTGTGAGTCTGTATGTGTGTGTACACAGGTGTGTGAGTCCCCAGGTGTGCGAGTCCATGTGTGTATACAGGTGTGTGAGTCCACATGTGTATGCAAGTATGTATCTGTGTGTGTCTGTGTGTGCATGGTGTGTATCTGTGTGGGTATGTGCAGGTGTGTGAGTCTGTGTGCGTTTGTGTGTGTGTACACAGGTGTGTGAGTCCACAGGTGTGCAGGTGTGCAAGTCCCTGTGTGTGTGTGTGGTGTGTGAGTATCTGTGTATGGGTATGTGCAGGTGTGTGAGTCTGTGTGTGTGTGCGTACAAAGGTGTGTGAGTCCACAGGTGTGCAAGTCTGTGTGTGTGTACAGGTGTGTGAGTCCACGTGTTATGCAGGTATGTATCTGTGTCTGTGTGTGCAGGTGTGCAAGTCCGTGTGTGTGTGTGTGTGCAGGTGTGCAAGTCTCAGTGTGTAGGTGTGTATCTCTGTGTGTGTATGTGCAGGTGTGCGAATCCATGTGTGTGTGTTTAGGTGTGCAGTCTGTGTGTAGGTGTGCACGCTCATGTGTGTGTGTGCACGTGTGCGGGTCCGTGTGTGTGTAGGTGTGCAAGTCCGTGTGTGTGCAGATGTGTAAGTCCCATGTATGTGTACAGATGTGCAAGTCTGTGTCTGTGTGTGTGTGAGAGAGAGAGGTGAGAGTGAGGGAGCTCACATGTGCAGGCCAAATGTACAAACGTGTACATTATAGTGTTCTTGATAGAGGTTTACATTTCTCAAAATACAACTTCACTAACAAAAGAAAAAAAGCATGTTGACCTTTGTCTCTGGTTATATGTCCAAACTCAGATTGCTATCTTTATAGCAACGTAACTTTTTAAAATGCAGATTACCATAATCCCCCAGGAAACCGCAGCCCTGCCGCTCACCTCTGTTCGGTGCACCAGGAGCCAGGTTCCGTCCGACGTCTGCTTGTGGAACTCCAGGTAAGGGTCTGACTTGCCAAACAGGTCCTGCGTCAAGAGAAGAAAGCCGTCCTTCTCCTCGCCATCTGCCTGTGACACGCTAACACCCAGGCCTGCCCTCCAGGTCCGGGTCTGCGCGCAGCTCCGCAGGGACACAGGCCCTCTCCCTCCGCACGAACCCGCCCCGTCTCCCAGGAGAACCGAGCGTTTCTGATGAACACCCTAACGCTGCGGAGCACACCCTTACTTCTCAAAACACACGATGCTTTAAAACAGTGGTCAATACGACCATCATCAATAAACGTGCTTGGTGCTGGTCTCATGACTAACACTGCTCACTCACACGGCACTGCCGAGTTCTGTGGAAGCAGCATCCCAACACTAGGCACGGCAACCGTGAGGGACAGCGACAAGATGGACAGAGGGTTCCCGTGCGCTAAGATCACATCTAACTGCTCATGGCTCTGAGTCTTGACTCCACACCTTGTCCTTCAGTGTCCAATCCCACAGCCAGGGAGCAGGGGCAAGTATGTGGAGAAGCCACAGGTCCCTCAAGGTCAGAGTACATCCTTTCCTTAGTTCCCCACAGCATCTATGCAGTGCACAGCACCCCGCATGCTCAGAGCTGCCCTTCCCACACCCTCAACACACACACACAATGCACACAATCACACACACACAGACACACACTCACAGACACATTCAAATATATACTCACAAACACATAAATGCACAGAGACCCTCACAGACACACAGAGACACACACAAACATATACTCACAGATACACACACACACACAGACCTCACAGACACTCACATACACATAGATACACATACAGAGAGACACAGACACACAGAACAGACATTCACAGACAGACACACAGATTCATATACACACTGACCTCAGAGAGACACAGAGACACACACAAACTCTCACTGGCACTCACACACCCAGGACAGCAGGCTGCACGAGGAGGCGCCCGCCTTAGCTGCATCCCTCCTTCCTCAAACAGGATCAATGGGAGGCGAACAGGAGGCCCCTGTTGAAATCTGTATCCCTACCCACCTTATTGTCCAGTTTTCTTGCTTCCATTTCGAACAGGACCACTCTGTTATCCTTGATTTCTTCAGCTGAGATCTACGAGATCAGGTGTGTGAAAGAAGCGTGACACACTCAGGAAGGACCGATGTTCTGTTACCTAACAGTGTACAAACTCTGTACCATACAAATGTTCACTAAAATGGTGCAATTGAGAGAGTTTTCATTTTAGCTTCCATACATGTGCAATAAGCTTTCATACATGTGCCCAGACCTGCAAAGCCTGCGTGCGGCACCTTCCCTTCAGATGCCGTTGCCCCAGTCCCATGACAAGCCGCGGCCCTGGGAGCACACCGGCTGAAGCTCCGCGGACCCTGAGCCTCGGGAGCAAATCACCGAGGAAACACTCCGGTGAAATCAGTTTTTCATACAATTTCTCTGATCGCTCTGCTCACAAACCCCAGGCTGCCGAGGCCCAGGAGCAATAACGGAAACTACGGACAGCGCTCTCTGTGCTGAGCCAGCTCCCGGCAGACGAGCATTCTTGTGCTTTAGGCAGTTTAACTGGAGCAAAGCAGCTGCGCAGGCTACCACAGCAGCAGCCCTCCGAGGCCGGGAGCCGCCTTCCGTCCCAGCTCAAGTCAGAACCACGGCTCCGGGAGGCGCTGCTGGGACACAAGCTCCAGAGGGAGAGCCCGAGCAGCGGGGCGCCGTGTGCTGTGGGCTCTGACACGGGCGCATGGATTCGCCGGCCTGGGACCAGCGGGAGGGCGGGCACTAAAGGTGAGGCCGTGCCATGTGAGACCCGTCGGGAAGGAGCCGTCCGGGACTGGGTCTGCCCCGAGAGGCGCCTCTGCCTCCCGGAGCCCGGGATCCGTCGATGAAGTCATGTCTAAGTGGGGAAGGAAGCACCACGAGGGGCCCTGACCCCGTGGACAACGTAGAAACGCAAAGGGATTTGTGTGTGAGTTTTCGTTCTTTTTTGACATGTCACACACAGATCCCGTGATGGCTCCCCAGCAGGGAAGGAGGGGTGCCCCCGGCTGGCATGACCAGGCGCTGTGGGCACCGGCCTGCAGCCCCACGTGCCCCCACTTCACCTCTGAGGCAAAGACAAGCGTCTCATTACCGTGATGCTGCCCTTCCCCGCGGGCTTGCCGTTCCTCAGCGCCAGTGGGCGCGTCAGCTTCTTACTGGACACGATCTGTTAAAAGCAGAAGGTGACACGGAGCGTTTCAACCTCCTCTGGCCAGCTTTAAGCCGAATGGTTTTGAAAAAGAGGTTGAGTATAAACTTCATTTCAAAGGTCATTAGGCCCGGCCGGTGTGGCTCAGTGGTTGAGCACCGACCTATGAAGCAGAGGTCACGGTTCGATTCCCAGTCGGGGCACGTGCCTGGGTTGCGGGCTCAATCCCCAGTGGAGGGTGTGCAGGAGGCAGCCAATCGATGATTCTCTCTCATCCTTGATGTTTCTACCTCTCTCCTTCTCCTTGCCTCTCTGAAATCAATAAAAATATGATTTCATTTTTTAAAAAATGAATAAAAAGGGTCATTAGAAATGGAAACCTTAAGCCCATACTATAAGGATGTAGTGATTCTGAAACACACATTTGAAACCTACAGAAACCATTTCCAAGGAGATGTGACCTCCCCCTGCACCCGCCCACTATTTCCCTTTTCAACTCCTTCAAACCTGAATTTCTCACACGTGATGGAGACGGAGGCCGGACCTCATCTCTCACAAATCACTGAGCTGAAACCCCCTGAAAGGCAGGCCCAGCCTCAGGACTCTCAGCAAATGGGACTCAATGTGTCCACTGACATGCAACCCTAACCTATAACCCCACCAAATAGCACTGATTAAAGTAGTACGGTAGACCTAGGTCCTCTCCATCAGCTATAATTTCTCAAATTCATTTTAATGTTAGCTACATTGGCTTTTTTAAAAAAAATTTAACTTTCCTTTGATGCTATTTACCAACGTTTTAGAAAACCGATCAGCTCCATGTTGCCCAAGACACCAGCAAAGCCGCAATCCCCCAGTACTGACCGTGAGTCCTTCCTGGAGGCATCCCCAATCCAGACACACGGGTGGGACCTCTCCTGGGAAGTCCGCTCAGAGCCCAGACACACCCTCCCCTGACCAAGCTTGCCCTGCACCGGGCAACAAGGATAAACCGGGGAAGGCTCAGGGAGAGGCAGGAGAGAGCACCCCAGCCGGTGGGCACAGGAGGCCCCAGACTCTGGGTTTACAGGGATGAGCCCGGCCGAGGAGCAGCGTGCCGGGTGGCATGGTGTGGGCGTCGGGGCCAGTCCTGCCAGCAGGACCAGCAGGAGCTGCGGTTGCTGCAATGGACTGAGCCGGGGCCCCGCACGCCGGGCGGCTGCAGCCGGGTTCATCCCTGAAATGCTGACGAGCACCCCGACTCCAGGACTGACGGGCCTTGCAAACACACGCTCCCTGCCCTGGGAAAGCAAGGGATTCTGCCTCGCTCACCGACCACACCCGCCTGTGAGCTCTGTCCGCAAGGTGGGCACGTGGTTTCAACTTTCAGAGTTAAACTAATGAGCACAAGTGAAATCCCAACTCTCCGGACGGTCGCAGAGCACAGGCAGTGCCGTCGGCAGCACTGTGACTCTGCGCCTGGGGCGGGACGGGGCGTCCGGGAGCACACGCCTGTCTAACTCCGCTGTGCGCCGAACCAGGACAACTATGTCAACTCCAATTGAAAATGTAAAAAGCTCTGTAAAGGCCCAACTCTCTGGCCGCCCAGTGACCCGCCCAGCCCAGCGACACACCCACCTGTCCCAGGGTGCATTCACATTCTCCCAGGAAGTCGTCGTCACTCAGCTCGATGGTTTTGTTGTCGATGTCATAAATCCCGAACCTCAATTTCTGAACCACTTCAAAGTAGTAGTCGATAATGAACGTCTTGGAGAAGGTGGGGTTCAGGCAGTTCTTAATCCTCTCTGTGCGATCCGCCTGTGCCCACCCCAGAACAAAAGTGGCTTCAGATCAAAGGCGACTCACATCTCAATCCCTCTATGGGCCACACTGAACCCAGGGTGGGCCTGACAGCTAGGGAAGGTCCGTCCGTGTGTAAAAGATTCCAGTCAAGGACAGACCTGCCCCCAAACTGCACTACCAGAGATGATGGTTTTATGATTCGTGACATGTTTACACTCCTCACATCGTCAATAATCCAGCTTGCTTTTCAGGTACAGTGTTAACATTACCTCATACCACTGCTGTCCGCTCGAGTTCAAAAATAACACGCACAAAGGGTCCGACTTGGACCCAATGTCTTTGTCCAGAAGATTGTCACAGGACACGTTCAGCTCCACCTTTGTCACACACTGGGCGGCCATCTCCGGAGCTGTGAGAAGCCACAGTGAGAAAGGGGCCTTGAGAAGTCATGTTCCCAGGAAGCGCGGAGCCTCCAGGACCACTGTCGGACCAGGGGCAGGGGGCCCAGGGGGACCAGGAGGGACCAGGCAGGACCAGGAGGGACTGAGGGGGACAGGGGGGCCCGGGGGGAGTCAGGGGGACCAGTGGATCAGGGGGACCAGAAGGGGCTGAGGGTGACCAGGGGATAAGGGGGACCAGAAGGGACTGAGC